TTATTATTATTATTATTATTTATTAAGTATAAACCAATTATGGATTAATATATTAATAATTAATTGATTAATCAACTTACTATAGGTGTTGGTGATGGTTGTTGTTGTGGAGAAGTTGGAGAAGGTGGTGGTTTTTGCGTTTGTGGTGGTTTCTGTATCTGTAATGGTAATGGTGCAATAGGGCTATTATTATTACTATTACTACTATTACTACTGTCACTGTCACTGCCACTACTGCTACTATTATTACTATAATGATTAATGGAATCATCATAAGATTGAGCAATTTGTGTGTATAATTGGGGTAGTGGTGGTGGTGGGGGTGGTTGCTGTTGTTGATATTGTTATTATTATTAGTTGCTGTTGTTGATATTGCTGTGATTGTAGTGGAGATAGTTGTTGTGATTGCTGTTGCTTCTCCTGTGGATATTGTTGTGTTTGAGGAAAAGAAGGATGTGTTTGTTGTAATTGTGTTGGTGAAGATGGTTTTTGAGTAGTTAATAGGTTCTCGTTGGAGGAAGGACGATTAGCGATGTTATCTCTGGCAAATTTTGCATTAATCTGATCAATCATTTCACTTGCAAGTCTCATTGACATTCCACAAAAATCAGGCACAAGATGCGCGCATTTTGCATGACAGGTAATATTACATTCTAATTAATTGATTAATGTAATAATGTATTAATGTATTAGTTATTATATGTTTATATATTTAATATTTACCAGAACATCTTTTAGATCCTTTTTTTCCTATTGGTAATATGTAACCACAATGACAACACCAATTTGCATAAATATTGGTAAGATTATCAAATCGATGTGGAATCCGATGACTAAGTTGTTTGTAATCAGAATCCTTGTAATTATTAATGAGATTAACATTAAGAAGGAAAGTTAATTTTATAATAAATAGTCATAATATATAACAATAACATAGATTTGGTTACCATCTCTGCATTTGATTTTGCAATACATTTTGTAACAATCTTTGTATAACATCTTTTGTGACATGTTAATTTACAATCTAGTTATATAAAAATAATTTCTTTAGGATATTATTTCAAAAATAAAATAAAATAAAATTTTGTATTTGTATTTATTTATTTTAAATAAATACCATCACATTGAAACCCCTCGTTAACAAATAATTCTTCACAATAAGCACATTTCATGACTTGATAGAATATTTTTTGAATAA